TTCCTTGGCTCCAGAAAATGTCTCCTTGGTGATGACTTCTCAAACAACTAAACAACTAAAGAAAACGTAGCAATTCCTACACCCCGTTCCAGGGGGAGGGGGAAAAGACTGGTCAAGAAGGGAAATGTAAAGATCATGGTGTATCACATGCCTTAGTTGGGAATAATATATACATGGTCATGATAATATAAACGCCAAACATTGACATATCAGAAATTTAGGATATAACCATATTGGGAACTTAAAAGAAAGGGATGTAAAGGTGAGAGGGAGGGTGGGGGTGTAAAGGAGCTAAACCCTCATCCTTCCAGGCAGGATGTCAATCGATGTCATCCAGAACTGGAAAAGAGAAGAAGAAATGGCCAGTATTTGCATACTATTTAGGATATGTTAATACCAGAAAAACACAACCCAAAGCATTGAAGTAATTGCCGCTAGGGTTATGTATTCAGTATAAACTCAGTAAAAACCTTCTACAACGAATGACTTCTAAGATTCTACATTGATTTATGTTGACCAAAGTAGAAAATTAAAAAATAAAGTAATACTCCTCAAGAGGAGTGAGGCAAAAAGCTAACAGAAATAAAATGAAGGCGCTTCTGCTAAACTACCCGACATTCGGTGTTTCTCAAAATGTATTCCCGCAACCACCTGCCCTCAGATGACCTGACGTGCCAGTCCGTAATGGAGATGTATAGACCCAGCCCAGACCTACATAATTAGCAGTTCTCAGAGTGGTCCTTGCACTCTACCATTTAAAAAAGTTCCCCTAGACCCACTGTAAAACAAACTGTAGTAAAACAAACAAAAAACCAAAACAAATAATCTATTTAGAGACGGGATCTATGACTCATCAAACACACTATGGCAGACACTGCTGGCTGCCTACCCAATGTTCATTCTCTCCCCTGCCTTATTAACAAAATTCCTATTTTGTTATTATTATTATTTTTTGAGACGGAGTTTTGCTCTTGTTGCCCAGGCTGGAGTACAAGTGGCATGATCTCGGCTCACTGCAATCTCTGCCTCCTGGGTTCAAGCGATTCTCCTGCCTCAGCCTCCTGAGTAGCTGGGACTATAGGCGCCTGCCAGCACGCCCGGCTGATTTTTTGTATTTTTAGTAAAGATGGGGTTTCACCAGGTTGGCCAGGCTGGTCTTGAACTCCTGACCTCAGGTGATCTACCTGCCTTGACCTCCCAAAGTGCTGGATTTACAGGTGTGAGCCACTGTGCCCGGCCCAAAATTCTTATTTTGATGTATTGGCAACGTGTCCATCTAAAACACTAGATTCTCTCAATTTCCCTTACCGTTAACAGTGTGTATGTGACATGGTTCTAACCAATGACATGTAAGAAGTCTTTTGGGGTGGGCTACCAGAAAAGCTGTTATTATTATTATTTATTATAAAGAAGGACAGGCCAGGCGCGGTGGCTCACACCTGTAATCCCAGCACTTTGGCAGGCTGAGGGGGCAGATCACGAGGTCAAGAGTTCAAGACCAGCCTGATCAACATGGTGAAACCCCATCTCTACTAAAAATACAAAACTTAGCGGGGCATGGTGGCACACGTCTGTAATCCCAGCTACTCGGAGGTTGAGGCAGAAGAATCACTTGAACCTGGGAAGCGGAGGTTTTAGTGAGCCGAGATCGTGCCATTGAGTGAGACTCCGTCTTGAAAGAAAGAAAGAGACAGAGACAGAGAGAGAGAGAGAGAAAGAAAGAGAGAGAGAAAGAAAAGAAAAGAAAACAGAAAAGACAAGACAAGACAAGACCCTACTGGCACATGCCTCTGCCCGTCTTTGTGCTGCAACTTGGGGAAGTGGGGATGAAAGCACCATGCTAAGGAGGGTGGTGCGGGAAGACAGAAGGAACCTGTCTCAGATGACGTTCACATCGGAACCCCTTTCCCAGCCCCAGCCTTCTCACCTCCAGACTTCTCGTTCTCTGAGAAAAACAAACTCCTTACTTGTTTAAGCTGCTGTAGCAGGGTTTTCTGTTCTTGTAGCTGAATGAACTTCTAATGACATCTCACACTTTTTCAGATGTTTATCTGACATATTTATCTGACCACGTTTTATGTGTGCCTGCTAAGGGCACTGTGCTAGGAATAAGACAAGTAAAGCTCTGTGTCTTTAGCCACTATAATAACGGCTACAGTTAGAAGGTCCATAGGCATTTGAGGGAGGTTATGTTTGCTGTCACAGACCTCAAACCAAAAAAGTACATCGAAGTCAGTCACTGGATTTATACATTTGGCAAATTCTCAAGGGACCACATGACAGAAGGAGCAATAATCTGAACATTGTTTGTAGCTCCAATTCTTCAATGAAGTAGATTTGGGGAAGCAACATGAGGTACTTGCTTTATTTTTCTTAAATCCAATTTTCTTCTTGAAAAACCACAAGATTGGACTTGACAATCTTTAAGATTATACCCAGCTCTAAGATATTTTTGTAATTATATGGAACAAAGCTGGGCATGAGATATACCAAACAAGAGAGTTTCTAAGTTTAGATTCTAACAATTCAAGTCAGAAAACATATTAAGTGTTCAAGAAAAACAAATCACAATCTTCCATCACAAAATTCAACAAGAACAACGAAAACCACTCCAGAGGCAGCTGTGGCATTCTGGAAGGAATGCTGGTTTAAGTTCTGACTCTGCCATTGAATTACTGACGAACCCTGGACCACATACACAATATCTCTGTTTCCATCTCCTTGTTTTTGAAATGCGGATTCTTATCTTCCCTGAACAGTGCTGTTTACAAACATCACCTTGTGCTCTGTAAAGCCTCATTATGATTTCAACAACCAGCAAGATAATGGCTTAGGATATCTAAGTCCTGGCAAGGAGAACGCGGGTGTGTACCTTGCTATATTCAGTTGAACTCTGCATAACATACAGGAGGCTGATACCCCTTTTGACTTTCCTTTTTCCTCCAGTGGTGTAGCTTGTGGCCATTTAATTTTTACACAAGAGAACAGAAAAGAGAGACAAAATTCGCTAAAATTCGAATAGTCTCTTTGTGTTTGTTTCTAGCCTCAGTGAAGGTTTCGAGGAGAGGGCTGGCTGGTTAAAAGGGTAGAAGCTTAAGAGTTCAAAGAAAGTGTGAGGAGGACAGCACTCACCTGTGGCCTCTAATTGTTCATATTCAGTGTGGTCTCATACTGGGAATAATCTAGTGTTTGTCTTATGACCTGTCTATAGAAACAAATATGGAATGTGTCTATAATATATAATAGCCATTAGTTGATGACACACTAGTGACTTCAATTCTATTACAATAAAAAGTTTTGTAATAGCAAGGACTTTGACTAGGGGAGTGACTCTATGTGTGGTGAAACTGTCCTCACCCATTTTACATGTGAGGAAAAGAGATAATCTTTTGATTACACCCAACACAGGTAACATCTGTACTTTGAACAGTTAAGTATGGCAGCTGATGTTTAACTGAAGGTACGGGGGAGATGAGAAACAGGAATAACTGGTGCCAAATGTGAGATTCAATAGCTTTGCCTCGGCCATCACAACCAACACCGACCAGAAGAGTGTGGGAGGAACTCATGGAATAAATGGGAACAGGTGTGGCCTGAGGATAAGTAAGTTGGGACACTGTTTCCATCTTCATGAAGATGTGAGAGGAAATCAAAGCTCTCTAAAAAGAAGGAAATGGAATGCTTGGCTCCTGTAATATCATAACAAATAATGCACAGCCAGAGGTCATGCCTCACCTTCTGCTTATCTCAGGCACCTCCGCTTGTAAAATCAGTGGGCCATATGCAATAAAACCTTCGTATCAGTTCCATATCTTTTCCCAGAAACCCCAGGAACAGAGGGAGCCAATATCCTTATTAAATCAAGAAGCTCACAGTCACGAAGAGCTAAGTGTGACGCTACTGGGCCCCTACCTAACCATGTGTCCCGATTCTTTCCATAATTTCCCACTGCACAACATCCAGGTTACACTGAAGATATTACACATCCGGTTAAAAACAGTACACGTTTCTCATGAAAAATAAGCCATCCTTCCTATTACAATGAGTGTAAAATTGTAGGTAAAATGCTGTAGGCAGGTCTGTTCGGAAGGCTATGCGACCCTAGGAGACAAAAAGGCGCGGGAGGAGAAAGCGGCAGAGAACGTGAAAGAAGTGGCCATTTCTGCAACTTTTAGGAGAGCTACCTGCCCTCAAATTTTGAAAGGGTTTCTATTTCTTAAAGTGCTAGGTTTCCCTGGCTGAAACTCACATCTTTCTTCCCTCTAGGACTGGATCAAAGTTTCAGAGGTTGTTTCTCTGGCCCTAGACAGAGCCACCCCCGCAAATTTCTCCCCCACTGCACCTGACATCCGCTTCTATCCATGGTTCCATTAGCGGAAGCTAAGCGCTGGCTCGAGGGACTTTATCCACCGCCGCGTTATTAGATTCCAGGCTTCCTGGCCTCAGGAAAGGATCTGGCTCGTGTATTTGTGTATCGTAGCTAACAAGGAAAGGCAGTTGGGGTACCAGTGCCCAGAGCTATGTGAGCTGTGACTGGACACAGCCCAGGGGCCAGATGGCATCCCCAGGGGCGCGCGTCCCCGGACTCACGGGGCAGATGGAGGTCGGGGGCTTCACACCTTCCCCTCACCCGGCAACGCGGCAGACCTGACTCGCGGAGGACCGAGGAATATTCATTCCAGGGCCGCGGCCAGCCGGACAGAGGCACTTGGGGGCGGTGGGAGTAGTGTGCGCACCAGTTCTGAAGCCCGGAGGGGGCCCCAGGTGGGCTTCCGCGACACCAGGGCCCTCCATCCCCTCCCGTCCTCCCCTAGCGGAGCCTCCAACCCTGTCCCAGAACCCCTCCCAGTCCGTAGCCCCTCCCTGTCCGCGTCCCCTTCCCCGCAGGTCCCCTGCGAGTCGGAACCCCCTCTCCATCACAGCCCCGCTCCTTGGCGGGGCCCTCTCTCCCTTCGAGCCCTCCTCCAGGTTCCAGGCCCCTGCGGGTACGGACGTCTGACCTGTGCCCAGCGCCTCGCAGCCGTCTGCAGCCCGCGCCGCACGCCAAGTGCGTCCGCCCAGAAGCAGGTGCAGCTCCAGGCCCGCCCCGCCCCGCTGCGCCCCGCCCCGCTCCACTCCTCCAGGCCTGGCAGCAGCCAGCCGCTTTCCACCCTTGACCGCCCTTCCCGGTCCCGGCCAGCGTGCGGGGCCTCTGTCGTCAGGTCCGCACTTCTTCCAGGCCCTTGACTTTCCCCTGGAGATGTCTCTGGCCCAGGAACTCCCTAAGCTGTGTGCTTCAGGAGGGGCTGGTTCCTGAGTCACCCAGGAGGACTGCAACCAACCGTGACCTCCTGGGATGCAAAGAGATCGCAGGGCCTGGGAGGCAGCGAGGATCCCGAGCAGAGGCTGTGGCTCTGAAGAGTGTTTGTTACCAAGCCAGGCAACTACTACGAACACACCCAGAGAAACAGCCACAGATCACCGTCCAGCAAAGGAAGAAGGCGCCAACCGTCCATCAGGGTCCACAACCCAGTTTTCCTAGTTTAAGTTTGGTGGCTAACTTTGAGTGTCACTTCATTCATTCATTCATTCATTCATTCTTTCATTCGTTCAGCAAATCTGCCATGTTCCCATCTGATAGCAGATCTGACAGGTGGGCACAGTTCTAGGTGCTGATTAAGAAGGAGACAAAGTTCCTGTCCCAGAGAACGGGGCTTCCTGCTGAGGAGGCATGACTTTCTCTGTGGTATTGTGCTGTCGCAGCAGCATCCTCTTGTATAAGCTACTGAGAGGTGAAGCTGGCTGGGCTTCTGGGTAGGATGGGGACTTGGAGAACGTTTCTGTTTAGCTAAAGGATTGTAAACACACCAATCAGCACTCTGTGTCTAGCTAAAGGTTTGTAAACACACCAGTCAGCACTCTGTAAAAATGCACTAATCAGTGCTCTGTGTCTAGCTAATCCAGTGGGGACCTGGAGAACTTTTCTGTCTAGCTAAAGGATTGTAAATGCACCAATGAGTGCTCTGTGTCTAGCTAGAGGTTTGTAAACACACCAATCAACACTCTGTAAAAATGGACCAATCAGCACTCTGTAAAATGGACCAACCAGCACTCTGTAAAATAGACCAATCAGCGCTCTGTAAAATAGACCACCAGGATGTGGGCGGGGCCAAATAAGGGAATAAAAGCTGGCCGCGTGCGCCAACAGTGGCAAGCTGGCGGGTCTTGTTACATGTTTTGGAGGCTTTGTTCCTTGCTCTTCGCAATAAATCTTACTGCTGCTAACTTTTGGGTTTGCGTTACGTTTATAAGCTGTAAAACTCACCGGGAAGGTCTGCAGCTTCACTCTTGAAGCCAGCGCCAGCGAAACCACGAACCCGCAGGCAAGAACAAATCTGGAAGCGCCACCTTTAAGAGCCCTAACACTCACTGCGAAGGTCTGCGGCTTCACTCCTGAAGTCAGCGAAACCATGAACCCCCGGGGAGGAGCAAACAACTTCGGACACACCATCTTTAAGAGCTCTAAGACTCACTGCAAAGGTCTGTGACTTCAGCCCTGCAGTCGGCAAGGCCGTGAACCCACTGGGAGGAACGAACAACTCCGGATGCCACGTTTAAGAGCTGTAACACTGGCTGCGAAGGTTTGCGGCTTCACTCCTGAAGTCATGCAAGACCATGAACCCACCAGAAGGAAGAAACTCCGGACACATCTGAACATCTGAACGAACAAACTCCGGACACACCATTGTTAAGAACTGTAACACTCATCGCGAGGGTCCGCAGCGTCGTTCTTGAAAGCCAGACCAAGAACTCCCCGGAAGGAACCAATTCTGGACACACTAGGAGGTTGGTCTCGTGGAATGGTTCTGCACCCTGTGTGTGTGTTGCCCATCAACCCTGTGCACAATATTAAAAGAACGCAAGCGGTAAGTCCCCCTCTCAGACCTACTGTTAAGAATCCAGGGCTGATGCACCTATTAAAAACTGCTCAGGAGGCCTGGGGAAGTCGGGATTGAGAACCACGGGTCTAGATCTCTAAGATGCCTGACAGCTTATTCCACTGTTGAGGGCACTGGCAATCAGGAACGGCTTCGTGGCAGAGGTGTTTGTATTTGGGTTTTAAAGCAGGGCCACAGATACACATTAGCAGTGCAGAAGGACACAGGATCCAACGGGCAAGCCTCTTGACCAAATGGCTCTCCCTTCCTGTAAAGTCAAAGAAAATCACTGTGAAGGATAAGGCATTAACTGGAGCAGGTCTTTCCCTGGTAAAAAGTGAATGGGATCTCTTGGGAGGTGGTAATGGCCAAGAGGTAGTGCCATCAGTTAAAAGGATAATGGAGTCATGCACCTTGGAGGATGTGCGGCACGCAGGCAGGAGCTGGGAGGGCATCTTTTAAATTTGCCATCAGCTCAGGAAGTTAATCACACATATCCTAGCACTTGTTCACACCCATTGTTTTAGAAATCGTTGATAGAGTGGAGTCCTGGATGCCTGTTACCCTGGGAGAGGCTGTCCTCTGTCACCAGGTCCCTTTTATGGACAGGTATATTCTTTAGTAATATTTACCTTGCTTATGATGATGAAACAAAGGTGTGACCTCTTAATTGTATAGTTACTGGTGGGTAGAGATGCTTTTTTCTTTCCTTTTCTTTTTCTTTTTTTTTTTTGAGACGGAGTTTTGCCTTTGTTGCCCAGGCTGGAGTGCAATGGTGCAATCTCGGCTCACCACAACCTCGGCCTCCTGGGTTCAAGCAATTCTTCTGCCTCAGCCTCCTGAGTAGCTGGCATGACAGGCATGCGCCACCACGCCCTGCTAATTTTGTATTTTTAGTAGACTCGGGGTTTCTCTGTTTGTCAGACTGGTCTTGAACTCCTGACCTCAGGTGATCTGCCCACCTCGGCCTCCTAAAGTGCTGGGATTACAGGTGTGAGCCACCTCGCCCGGCTGAGATGCTGCTTAATATTAAAAAATCTAAACAAAGAAAATTATTTCTGCCTCAAATTATAATAACCAGGTGCCAGGACAAAACCAGTTTTTAATTTTGTGTGTGTGTGTGTTTGAGACAGGGTCTCACTTTGTTGCCCAGGATGAAGTTCAGTGGTGCAATCATAGGTCACTGCAGCCTTGACTTCCCAAGCTCAAGAGATACTCCTGCCACAGCTTCCTAAGTAGCTGGGACTATAGGTGTGCATCAACATGCGTGGCTAATGTTTACATTTTTAAAAATTTCAATAGTTTTTGGGGAACAGGTCATTTTTTGTTATATGGGTAAGTTTTTCAGTGGTGATTTCTGAGATTTTTGTGTACTCATCACCTGAGCAGTGTACACTGTACCCAATGTGTAGTTTTTTATCCCTCACTCTCCTCCCTCTTTCCCCTGAGTCCCCAAAGTCCATTTTATCTTTATCTTTCTTTCTTTTTTTCTTTCTTTCTTTTTTTTTTTTTTTGAGACAGAGTCTTGCTCTGTTGCCCTGGCTGGAGTTCAGTGGTGCAATCTCGGCTTACTGCAACTTCCGTCTCCCAGGTTCAAGCCATTCTCCTGCCTCAGGCTCCCGAGTAACTGGGACTACAGGCGCGTGCCACAACGGCTAATTTTTTGTATTTTTAGTAGAAATGGGGTTTCATTGTGTTAACCAGGATGGTCTCAATCTTCTGACTTCGTGATCTGCCTGCCTCAGCCTCCCAAAGTGCTGGGATTACAGGTTGGGGCCACCATTCCTGGCCCATTATATCATTCTTATGCCTTTGCATCCTCATAGCTTAGCTCCCCCTATAAGTGAGAACATACGATGTTTGGTTTTCCATTCCTGAGTTACTTCACTTGGAATAATGGTCTCCAATTCCATACAAATTGCTGCAAATGCCGTTACTTCATTCCTTTTTATGGCTGAGTAATATTCCATGGTGTAAATATATCACATTTTCTTTATCCACTTGTTGGTCAAGGGGCATTTAGGCTGGTTCCGTCTTTTTGCAATTGTGAATTCTGCTCCTATAAACATGCAGATGCAAGTGGCTCATATAATGACTTCTTTTCCTCTGGGTAGATACTCAATAGTGGGACTACTGGATCAAATGGTAGTTTTACTTTTAGTTCTTTAAGGAGTCTCCATAAAGTTTTCCACAGTGGATGTAGTAGTTTATATTCCCACCATCAGTGTAAAAGTGCCCTTTTCATCACAATCTTGCAAACATCTACTATTTTTTGACTTTTTAAATTATGGCCAGTCTTGCAGAAGTAAGGTGGTATTTCATTGTGGTTTTAATTTGCATTTCCCTGATAATTAGTGATGTTGAGCATTTTTTTTCCCACGTGTTTGTTAGTCATTTGTATATCTTCTTTTGAGAACTGTCTATTCATGTTCTTTGCCCACTTTTTGATGGGATTATTTCTTTTTTTCTTGCTGATTTGAGTTCCTTGTAGATTCTGGATATTAGTCCTTTGTAGGATGCATAGTTTGCGAATATTTTCTCCCATTCGGTGAGGTGTCTGTTTACACTGCTGAGTATTTCTTTTGCTGTGCCGAAGTGTTTAATTAGGTCATATCTATTTTTGCTTTTGTTAGTTTTGCTTTTGGGTTTTTGGTCTTGAAATCTTTGCCTAAGTCAATGTCTAGAAGAGTTTTTTCCAGTGTTATCTTGTAAAGTTTTTATGGTTTCAGGTCTTATGTGTAAGTCTTTGATCCATCTTGAGTTGATGTTTGTATGAGGTGAGAGATGAGGATCCAGTTTCATTCTTCTGTATGTGGCTTGCCAGTTATCCCACCACTGTTTGTTGAATAGGGTGCCCCTTCCCCACTTTGTATTTTTGCTTTCTTTGTAGAAGATCAGTTGGTTGTAAGTATTTGGCTTTATTTCTGGGTTCTCTATTCTCTTCCATTGGTCTATGCGCATATTTTTATATTGGTAACATGCTGTTTTGGTACTGGTTTAAATCTTGCAGGATAGTTTGAAGTCAGTTAATGTGATGTCTCCAGATTTTTTTTTTTGTTTGTTTTTTGCTTAGTCTTGCTTTGGCTATGTGGGGTCCTTTTTGTTTCCATATGAATTTTAGAATTTTTTTTTCTAGTTCT